GAGAGAGATGGCACACATATGAAATGTTGGTCAAGACACATCCTCACTTGGCTTCCTTTCTTTCATCTCCTACCGTCATAGATGCACACGCTCACACACTTACACTAAAATGATGAAAATTACAAATTTACCTGAGTACATTTGAAGCTTTTTCACATTTACGCTTCATTATTTTTTCATTTTCGGGTACTATTGTTGCATTTTAATTTTAGCATATTTGTGAGGTAAGTAAAATATTTGATCAGATTTTATTCCAATATGTTGATTTGAAAACTTCAGCTACAAGTTACTTAATAGTTTAACATTATGCACACTAAATATTTTTGAGCTTTCAATTACTTAAAGAAATAAACATGAAAAATGACCAAAAACAAGTGCAGGTGTCACATGTGTTGGCTGACTGAGCTGACATTTTTTCACTATTTTTTTACACCTCACAAAGTAAATCAGTGGTTCAGTCAAGAGATCAATGAGCAGCTTATAATGATAAAAAGCTATTTAGAGGTTAGCAACTTTAACAAATTAATTATAAGAAAACAATGTAGCAAATCTGAAAATATAGAATATGATAATTATGATTGTTTCATTTATCTTGCACATATATAAACAGAGCCACATAGTGATTACTCAGGACAACAGCAGATTAAAAAACTAAATGTGTTATATTTAATTACATGTGATGTAAAGGTAAAAAAAAAAGAAGAAGAAGAGAGAATTAAAGCAACATAAAGGTCTTTATCTGTTGTACTGTGTGCTGTGATCATTTTCTTCCGCTGTGATCACCAGATGTTTTAGGCCTTCACATCCTTTTCTGTCCAGCAGGGGTCGATGTTGAGGCAGCTTTTGTAACTCTTTTTTTTTTTTTGAGTGTCTTTAAGATGTGGCAGAGCTGTTTTAGCCTCCTCATCTTTCAGCCCATCTTCCAGGGGCGTAATTTCCGGGGAGGTTATGAACCCCCCAATAACCAGACCCAACCAATAAGACCCCCATAAAATTATGAATAATCTTGCATAAATAGGCTGTTGATTTTCTTTACTCATATCCGTTATTACCAGCAAAATAGTTTCACGTTTAATCATCTGAGTTTACCCAGATTTATTTATTTATTTAGACAGAGATCTTGACCCCCCCAATTTTCAGCACAAAGTTACACCGATGTCTTCTCTACTGTTGCAGACCTTGTAGGCTGTGCAGGTGTTGCAGATCCTTCTAAGACAGCTGGAAGGTGTCAGTGTTTTTCATGTCCTTCTGCACTACCCTCCAACATCCTGAGCCACATGGTAGCACCGAGTTAACATCACTATTATAGAGCCTGGTCTTGGTTTTAAAGTTGTGTTGCTTCAACTTCCTGAAGTGACTGAGCTGGCTATAAAAGCACCTCAAGCTTTGTTAACTCTGCCTCTGATGTCTTTATGGTCACTGCCTATCAGGCTACCAAAGTACTTCAGCATTCTTCAGGGTCGACCAACTAACATGTTATCATCACTTCTGTCTACTTCTGGTTGACATATAGACCGGTTTCCTTGGCATAGTTACACAACACAACATAAGATGAGGCCACACAGCTGAATTTCCACTTAAGGTGAGAAATTTAAGAATAAATGTATAAGTGCTCAAATCATATAGGGACTATTAAGCAAAACTGGAGCCTTTGAGACCCATCGCGTTCTTGGTGAGAAATCTAACTTTGTGATGTAAGATTATGTTTGTAGAAGAAAAGTTTATCTAAGCAAATCTGCAAAGATCCAAAAAGGCTGAATGAATAAAAATACAACAGTGATTCAAAGGACAGAGAGCACAGTGATGATTTTATAGTGCTGCAGCCTGGTGTCAGTACTACAATCAGACCACTAGATGGAGATAAAGGCCTGAGGATAATCCAGAGTAGCTGATAAAAAGGTCCAGTGCAGTAACACACACACACGCACGCACGCACGCACGCACATATATATTTGTGCTTGCATCTTTGTGAATACACTTGCTGACTTCATCTTTACCTTAACCTGAACTTTTTGGATTTGTGCATTTTGACAACCCAACATTTGTACCATCAGTAGCAAAGATTTGGGTAATTTCCATGGGAAGAATGTCATACTACCCACAATCTGTAGGCCGCCTTTGCCAATTATTGTTTATTTCTTTTGAGGAAACCACTCTTGTATCCATGGATTGTGGGCCCATCAGTTCTGTGGTTGCCAGCATTTTCTTTTAGAATAACTTGTCCTAGATTGTTCACAAGGATTATGTGTGTTGATGGAAAATAGCTAATAGTCAGCTAAAAGGTCCTACTATGGTCAAAAACTCAAACCAGCAGATTCCTGAAATATGACTAATACAGATTTATTCTTCGTCCCATCTCCCCACAATATGAATAGTACAAGTACTAGTATAGAACAGCTCTTTGAAGTTATATCCAAAGACCCATGGACTAAAACTGAAGCCAGTTCTCACAAATACAGCAGCAGAGGCACCCTTTATACCATCACTTAAACTAAAATGTGTCACTGAAAGTTAGTGATTTACATAGTAATAAATTATTTTTAGTTCACAAAGACAAGGTGTCCACAATTTGACAGTCTGCTTAACATGGACTAGCGTATTTTTGTGCTTTTGTTTGTGGTAAGTACCTCAAACCCAGTCTGAACACCCAAACATGCCTTTAAAAGTCTGTCCCACAGTGGGGACCAGCCAAAGTTGTCCTTGCCTTCCTTAAATATCAGAAGAATTAGAAATTTAAATTTAGGGCTGTCTGGCAAACACACACATAACCTTTACTTGGATAGGCCTATTTTGTAGTCTGCTTGGAGAACACTTTTATAGTTGGTGCCCCTATGCCAAAATGTGTGGGCCTGAGCTGTACCACCCCCAGTTTGTCATAAAGAAATGGGAGGTACACAGACATTCACACAAAGCCTTGCCCCTCTGATTCAAAAATTTCCATTTGCTGGACCCAAGTGGAGTGTTGCAGGTGTGGAAGGTATAACAGTTACGTAAATTTAAACTTCAACCTTGCTTTGCTAGTCCCCACAATATGTCTATGCAAACAAAGTCCCTAATACAGGATCACACACAATAACTGCTGGCATAAGACTTACTTTACAAGTTTTCACACTAAAACACATTCACAGCAAACACATTTTCATCCCCACAACAGGAGTAATACAAAGACAAACATGGCGAGTGTACAAACTTTATTAGAATACACGAGTGTTACTTTTCACAAATTAATCGCTAAAAGTGAGCCGGAGGCCTCGATCGGCCTGTTGAAGCTGTAAAGAGAGGCCAAAATGACAGTTTGTCCACAGGGATGCAGAAAATGTACAGTAAACATGAGGAGTTATTCTGATACTGCAATATGAACCTGCCTCTCTCCATCTCCACTCACCATCTGCCACACACACACACACACACACACACACACACACACACACAC